GTGATGGTTTTCTAGGGAATATCTATACCCTCCTCCCTCAGAGAAACAATTTCTTTTTTCCTTGATTTGTGAGCTCTCATGCCTTCACCATGTTAGAAACTTGACAGCCAGAAGGGCGTTGTACCTTCGATGGAACCCTTTATAGTACACATGGATGAAATATTACCACTGGTTAGATGAGGAATAAACTGCCAATCACTTTTTACGAATTGGCTCCCATGTCATGTAGCGCACTATTCATGGAGATGGTGCAATTATTTTGCCATCCTATGTATGTATGTATGTATGTCCCGTAGCCAGTTAGCCTTCCGATTGACTCATGACCACATTTCATTTGAAATTGAATGTAAGGTATATATAGAGTACCCCCATTATAGATATCGAGTAATAGTAAACTACCGCAGTCAATGAAAGGTCAAGGACACACCTCGTGACACCTGCATATCAAACAGTCCCGGAACGAAAACAAACATTAGCGTATCGCTATTATAGATGAGAATCTGCATGTAGATAAATCGATCGCCTGTCTAATAAGAACCCAATAAAAATTGACATTTGTTTCATCTTTACTATAACGTGTGGCGATGTCAAATGGAATTGCACTTTATTGTCTTGCTTTCTTTCATCTAATTTCGATGTTGGTGTGGGTCTACTTAATAAGCCCAATAATGCGTTTTGATAGCACTACGGTAGCAAAAAAAAAAAAAAAAAAAAAAAAAAAGACCAGGTTTTCGATCCCAAAACGTTATTAATTTTTTATCAATTTATCGTCTACAACGAATATATGACAGATACAAATTATATCGGTACTAGTGTTGTTTTGTGAAAGAAGTCATTATATTCATTTATCAAAAACTGACACCAAGGTTACACATATGACTAATACGTAAGCGGGTTGTTTTCAAGCTCTGACAAACCTGCGAAATTAGTGTCATTGAGTTGCAATTCACTTTTTTTAGATTCTCATCTGCTCTAGACGTTGCCTTACTAAGGCTTTAAACCTCACTGTATAGACCGACACACTGTAATGTGGACTGTTAATTTTGATATAAACGTTGGTATTATGCCTTATGTCTTATTATAATTGGTGCTGCATAAAACCATGCACCGTATGTGCGTTACTTTGACTTTATCTTTTCTCTATAATAATAATAATAATATTTTTGATGTTTTTTTTTTACCATCTAAATTGCAAAATTCGAGAACTCGTGATCAGATATTTCCTATGCCAACGGTAAAAAAAGGATGACCTTTATCGAATAATATGTCTGAGTGAATTCTTGTGCAAGTCTTTCACGGGGTTCCTGAAGCGTATGTCCAGACCCTGCGGCATATAACAAAGTCACCTTGGGTCACGAGCGTGCAAATAGACTTTCACTAAAGTCACGTTTCCACGTTTCACGTTTGAAATGATGTAGAAAACGTCCGTTGAGGAGCAATACTGAAAAAAGCGCGGCGACTACCAATACGTTTACTTCATCAAATGATTCTTAATGGGATGGCGGGGGGAAGGGGGGGGGGGTTAAAACTGTGCCAGTACGTGACAAAAATTCGACTTATTACAAATGATCCTGTGTCATGTGTACTTTGACTGCATGAATTGCTGGCATTGTGATAAAGAAAAATATCATAATTTTATGAGCTGCAGCTCAGATTTCAGAATAAATATATTATATTTATTTATCTTTATAAAACGTCTTCCTCCACGGCTTTCGGACTAAGTGCTTACAAACCTTAAAAATTAACTAAAACATGTCTCCCTTTACACGATGATACATTTATTTGAGAATGTAGAAGCGTCTTTCAAACCAGGTCGCATGGAAAGCCATTTCATAAGCATACCTGCATTAGCTTATTACAAAAATACCGCAAGTCAAGCACATTTTCTAGGCACTTTTCCTGTTATTACAATATATATATATATATTTGTTATGTCGTCTAATAAGGCAATTGTCAAGGTGCCCTCTGCTTCTTGGAAAGTTTATGCAATGAAAAGTAGCCCAGACACTTCCCTTTCTGTCGCACTCATACATGTCGCCTTACGGCAAGTTGGTCTGAAGGTCGCGCGCATTGTCGTTTGTAGCTAATATCTGTTTGGTTGGGTACATTTGTGCACAGGATCGTAGTTTCAAACAGATTTGACATTTGTCTCAACCCGTAATGATGGTAGCATTTTTGAATGAGAACAGGATCCCATGAGAACAGGACCCCCTCCCCTTGAAAGTTAAAAATAAATGAAGTCTATACTCTCTCTTTCTCTCTCTCTTTCTCTCTCTCCGGATGCTAGCGTCTTAAGAAACTAACTATAATAGTACCATATACGGTAGATCATTAAATGAAAGGGTGCTATAGACCAATATTCCATTTATATGTTTAATAGCAAATAAAGATGAAAATTACTTTTTTTAATAAATCAATACACATCTTGTCATTAAGCTAAAGGAACCGAGCAGCTACCGTTTCAGTTTTACTTCAGTTTAATAAACACCTTAATCTATAGGCCTTATTGCCCTGAAACACAGTCAACATATTGCGTCAATCCGCTGGCTAATTGGAAACCAAATAAACTTAATCGCATTACATTAAACCCAGAATTACAGAGACAGCTCCTCTTTATTGAGCGATTTGCGATGGGTTAGCACTACGTTGAACTTGAAAAAATGCATTAATATTTGTATTCCGTGGCCAGTTTTTGAAATTCTTTTATGCCAGTTTTGAAAATATATAATAATTGATCTTTAAGTCAGGAATCAATCTGTAAGTCTGAGATATGAAAAAAGTGCGTTGGAAATTTAAAAAAAATTACATTCGATTTTTTATTCAAGCTTGAAATGTGTATCAAAATGCACAAAAACGAGACATGAACATCCAATGTTACAAGAACTTCTCCTCCACAAGTTTCAACTGAAGCAGTTTGTACGTACATGTGTCATAACTTCAAAGTTTTAACCCTTAGTCTTCAACATGCTGTCCATTTCAGACCAAGCAGATTTAGGCTCTTCTCCTCATGCCATAAACTGCACGTCGTACATTGGATGTTCATGACAAAAGAACATAAATGGCAGATAACAGGAAACAAAAGGTTAATTGGCAGGTTTTTAATTTGAAAACCATTTATATAACCATTTCATGGCAATTAATCAACCTTTTGCGAAAAAAAAGTTCTTGAAATAAAAATTTGATCCTCATGACGTAATTTGACCCTGCTCAGTCATGCGTGAAAAGACGCGACAATCCATGGTGTGCTTTGAAGCATAATTTCCCTACGAACCTATGTTTACATTAACATTTGTTATATGAAATGAAATTTTAAAATTCTGGGTATTTTTTTAAATGTTCATTTTTTTCTTTATACACCCTGCATAGGGAAATTCATCAGCATGGGATATTTAAAGGTTATTGCAGGCATAGATATATGATATTTTTACATTGTCAGAGGCTTCAGCACCCCAGTAAAAAGAAAACCAACCAGCCATACTTGCGCGTACTGTAACATGGCTTCGCCGAGTAATTATGGGCGGATTACAATACTGTGTATTGTGACAAGAGCCTCCAGGAGATTTTGATAAATCCTTAGTGATCGGAAACAGAGGGATTGAGACACATACCTTATTCATTTGTGTATCATTGCTTTGTAATTTGCGGTATTCGTTCTAATCCATTTAAATTCATATACGATTTTTCGAAATGTTTTTATTTTTTGTTTTAGCTTATTCCAGTTAAAACACCCTTTGAGTCTCATGGTTTGGCTTGGTTTAGTGTCATATAGTATGGAAAAAGGAAGTACGATACATGGAATAAATTGAGTTGTGATAGTTCTGGATGAAAATGATTGGTTTATTTTTACATAGAAATTTTTTAAAATGAGTTATAGCTTCGAAGAATTTGAAAATTCACGAATAGCATTGCTGTCACTGACACATTTTAAAATATATGCACACCCAAGTGTTAATTTCCTGGACCTGTACCGAGTTGAGTAGTTAAAGTAACGTATTTTTCTTTATTTGTACTAGTTAAAAAGTTCCATTTAGCAGTAGCCAATACCCCAATTAACGTCAAATAAAATTACACTTTTTCTTAATCTGTTCAATTATCAGTATCACAAATAAGGATTTTAAGTAAAAATATACAGTCTGATTAAGTTTCCTGTGATTAAGTCGATCCGGAAGCTTTTGGCAATTGGCCAAATCTCCATTTACATAGTATTTTGAAATAGATATATAAGTTGCGTGCATGTTAATCAGTGTTCGGTTTAACGAAACATGTCATTGCGGTTGCTGGTGACTGTAATGAGCTGTACCTAGCTGAGGAATAAAATACCTGTATTTCTTCAAAGGCATCGTATTTAGCAGGTGAGCTTAGTCTATTATGAGTTTCAAGATTTTCTGCGCGGATGATGATGTTTATCTGTTTAGAAAAGAAGATCAAAAATAGATTTTCATTATGAAACGTATCATATTCTCTTCCAGGCTGATGAATTTGTGAAGGGGGAGAACGATCCTAGGCGCTCGAGTATCAACAAGGAGACAAGAAGAAAGAAAGATTCCCACGTACGTACAACACAAAAGTAACACTAGTCTTCTTTGCATGAAGAGGAGTGCCACGCTTGGTATGACGATAACGTATTAACCGCAGCGTTAGCAACCTTCACCGTCTTAAAACAACCTGTTTCTTAGAAGCACTTGTATGGTTGCATGCACCGAGTCTCTATGCGGTTACCGAGGATTAAGTGCTTCTTTGCATCTACCAACAACGCAAAACATGTAAAGCACATTTCTACTTAGACTTCCGATTCACTACAGGGATACGTTAAAATACACTAGTTATGTAAAAACGATAAATGCCAACACCTAGTTTACTGCCGTAAAGACTGGATTAACTAGTTCACAGGGATGTCGGGGCTTAACCAGAATATCACAGGCATTAACGGCAGCAATGCTTCTATGGCGGTCGAAGAAACAAATTATATTCAAAATGGTGTCGCTCGCGATCCAATTCTAGTCGTCAATCTGTTCCTGCTGTTCGTGGCTCTGATTCTTGGAACTATTGGCAATCTATCCCTGGTAGTTGCTGTCGGGTGCAGGAGGGCGCTGCAAACCGCTGTCAACGTACCATTGGTCAACCTGGCCATTTCGGACCTGATCATCTGCCTTCTGAGCGTCCCAATCGCGTTTGTGATCATTCTAGAGAATTTCACGACGTACATCGTGCCGTTAGAAGTTTGCGTAATGCAAGGGTTTTTTCAATCAACGGGGGAGATTGTTCAGTTGTTGACAATAGCTGTCATCAGTTACGAAAGGTACCAGGCAGTTGCGAAACCCTTTGACAAAGAGCAAAGGCGTCTGAGAGTGATCGTGATGACAGTGGTGACGTGGACTCTTGGTCTATCAATAGGCATTATATGGACTGTCCTTTTGCGCGATTCACCTCTGTTTGACATGTGTCTGAAGTACAACACGGAACTTTTACATATGGATGGCGTCTACAGCCTTTATATTCTATCACCATTAACCGTTGTAACAATTCTTATAGTGTCCGTGGCGTACTGCCGAATACTTTGCAAGGTAGAGGAGAAAAGGAAGATATTTAGAAAACCGTTTGGCGGTCAAAAAAACAAGGTTCACCCGATCAGAACTCTGTCAGAAGACGTTCCAAACGGGGAACAAGCCCGGTGCATAGTAAGTCCCCGGAAAGACATGACTCAAACAACGGCAATTCTTAACTCGTCAGATTTACTGCCGTCAGGAACCCCTCAAGTGAGTCCTCCCGACCAACATACAGTGGAAACGCACAGACTGAGCACAATTCATTCAACGAGCACAATAACTAAAGAGACACCTGGGTTGAATATAAATGAAGAAAGTGTGCGTAGCACGCAGTGCGTTTCGAATGAAGCGACTGAAAGGCCATCTATTGGTAAGACAAGTGACAACACCTTGCAATTCCATGATTTTGGTTCAAAAAACAATTTGCAGGGAGTAAAGCAGGATTCGCCCAATGTCTTAAACGCTGCACGATGCGCGACTAAAAATCATAAAGAAGCGGCGTTTTTGATGCTAGATGGCGCGGATTGTTGTGTGCAGTGCTCGGGGGTGAATGTTTCTGCGGGAAAAAGGAATCCAAACATTGTTTCACCGCAGAGAGTGAACAATTGGCATTTACCTCAAAGAGTACAAGAATACTCAGAGAGGAGTACAAACATAAGCAATCAAAATGACAAAGAAACTCGCGCGAATCTCCGATATTTATCTTACAGCACAATTCCAACAGCACTATCAGATGCCTGTCGAGCCTCCATTAGTGTAGTCAAAGACTTGTCTGTCAGTGATGCACCTGACAGCACAAACAAAGATCTCATTGAGAATGGGCAGCACCTTCGAGGCGACTCGGATCGTGACCAAGGATTCCAAGCCGTTCGTCATAGTAATCAGAGCGGCAAAAACACTGCAGAAAAAAGAGAAGACCAGAATGTGACTAACGAAATACAAGTGATTGACTTTGATGGCAACGTCACCACATCGCAAGCAGTTGCCGTGGGTGAGGCAAAGATATACGGCTCGGTCTGCGTGATGACTAACAAGAACCGGGTTCTTGGTAAGAGACGCCTGGAGACAAAACTTGCCAAGATGACGTCGGTTATTATCGTGACATTCTTTGTATTGTGGCTTCCGGTTCCCATAGCAACGGTCGTGCAGCGGACGTACTCTGGGCAGCAGGAAGGGGGAAGCTTCGTACTGGTTGATTCTTTGCAGCTGCTGATAGCTACAATAGCTATGTTGAGCGCTGCCGTTAACCCCATCGTCTACGCCCTTCTGAACAAGAAGTTCAGAGCTGAAATTGCTTGCATCTTGAAACGGCAGTAAGACGCAATACGTACCTATACGTCCGGGCAGTTGGCATTTAGTATAATTTTTGAAGTTAAGGATTAAATGAAAACGAACACTGCACCTTGCTTTGTAATGAACAACAGTTCCTCGTTGAGATGTCAACGTTACTTGGCTGTTAATCACAGGCAGGTTCCAATATTTGGTTCCTGTATTTCTGAGGATATTGTCTTCACATTTAAGAATGATAAAACGTTTATTGTGGGTTTGACATGCCATTCTGGAACCTCTAGCACGACATTTAGTTTGATATTGTTTACACGTTAATCTTCGTTTCATTTGATCTACGATAGGACTGTGGCTTTTAGATGCTCTTTCCAATTAGCATCCATAAATTGTGTTTTTTTACACATCCGTTCAAGGCCTTGCTCTTAATAACTTGATTACTTTTAATGATCTGTTCAAGTATAAGTAAATGGGTTATATTTTTCTATCTGATTATCCAGATACATTTAGAGTTGTTATTAATAAATGATGTTGTTTTATCTGATCGCCTTGAATTATCGTTGAGTCATCCAGTTTTCAGACTTCATTAGAGAAGCACGTAAGCAGGCGATAAAAATCTACAGACCAGTGTTGATAAATCGGATCATGTTATAAAATATCAATAACGGCG